CTTCAATTCTTTTGCATCTGTAATGGCAGAAATATCGTTTAAACTTCTTAAGTTGTTGCATCGTTGAATAACTAATTCTTGTATGGAAGGCAACAGCAAAGTATTTTCTCCATCAATATACATGTCGTTGAATTCCAAACTTTTATTACGTCCTTCTTCTAATTCCAAAGGAGAACAATAATAAGATTCAAGAGAGAAATGGCTTGCAACATCAACAGCGTACATATTGAACTCATCTCCATCTCCTCGATCTTGCAAACATTTAACAAAGATGCTCAACTCATGGCATGTGGGGAACCGGCCACCAAAACGTTCCAACTTGACCAATCCCCCAATCACTTCCCCTTTCAAAGCTATTTCCCAACTTACCACTAAGTACTGAAGTTCGGAGAGATTTGATAATATTCCATTAGCTATTTCATCTACCTCAGGAGAAAATTCTAAAATTCTATTTCCAGAAATGTCAAGATATTTGAGATTTGTCAACATTTCTAGGCCTTTAGGGATTTCTTCGAGTCCTGACCTACCAAGGTCTAACTTTTTTAAAGCTTGAAGGTTGGATAGAGATGGTACCTCTATTAAGGATGTCGCCTGCAACAATAATGTAGTGAGATTCACTAATTTGGAGAGGGAATCTGGTAGGCTACTAAACTCCTGATTGTAGGAAAGATCAAGAATTTTGAGCTGAGGCATATACTCAAAGATAGATTCTGGAATTGTCAACAAATTATTGTGAGACAGCAACAAGGTTGTTAGCATGGTGCATTTTGATGATGGAATGTTTGAAGGAATTTCTTTGATGAAGTTTCTCATTAAAGAAACCTTTTCAAGGTTTTCTGTCCATTCTCCTTTCTCTGGTAGCTTTTTCAATCTCAAGCCTGCTTTTACCAAGAATTGGGGATTTGTTCTTGTGACATTCAATGCCATGTCCCTGACAAGATCATGCATTCTCACACAATCTTCCTCTTCCCCATCTTCCAACAAACAATTATCTTCAAGCTTTCTCAGAATATCATAGCCCTCATCCTTCATTGCTTGCCAAGTCTCCATTTCATCTATAAACCCCTCATCAATCCAATATTCAATTATCTCCTTTCTTTGAATATTATAGTCCTCAGGGTACATTGCACAATATAAGAAACAATGTTGAATTTTTGGGTTTCTCAAACGATCATAACTAAATTTTAATATCCTAAATGCATCATCATCTGTCCCTGCCACATTTCTTCTGCATTCTCTCAATTGATTCAATGCAGCCTTCCACAAACGTGGCTCAGATATTTCCTTCAAGCTACCAGCGACTGTGATTATTGCCAAAGGAAGACCATCACATTCATTCACAATCTCCTTCAAAACTGATTCTAAATTTAGTAAAACAATATCTCCAACTTTATTTAAAAATAATTTTAAAGCTTCCTCTTG